TGCGAATGAAATTCGTTACGTGAGTTCGAATTATTACGAAGAACTCCTCGGAGATTCGCGATGGACACGCAGGCGAATCGCAACTCGCCCGAAAACGGCGCGAGAGAGGATTTATACGCGCGGCGTACGTGTGCAGGAACCGCCGCGACTTTCTGTTATTAATTTAACATCCACGTAGTTGCGCAACTGGAAGCTGGGGCTGGGATTGCGGCGGCGCGACGACATCTCGACTTTTCAGCCGAGATGGTAAATAATTAACCCTCTGAGAGACGACGAGACACGACGAGAAGAGAAAATGAAGAGAAAGAAGTGGAAAGTTTCGTGGCGCCCGTTTCTTTTTTTTTTTTTTTTCTTTTTTGCGCAATTACATCTGCGACTCTTTCTCCTTTCTCCCGGTTTCCTCGTTCCCTTTTTCTTCTTTTGTTTCGTTCGTAATGACGGTCGCATAACTCTCGCGAAACGACTTCTGGGCCCAGGGGCCCACGGAGACAATCAGATAACGGCGAACACCCGCGCGACCTTATGTAACCGCGCACGACGCGTTACACGACGTGCGTGCGATTCGCCACGAATTGCGATCGTGTGGGTATTATACTTTGATTCCGCTGTCGAGGCTTTCGGTTTTGAGTTTCTCTTTGGCAGAGCGTCGAGGATCTCGATGGAAAGATTATTTCGCACGAACGGAGAATACAGAGAAAATGTAAGGGAACTAACGACGAGAGTTAACGTACGTACATACGTGCTCTTCGTATTTTATTTTGCAAAATATATCTTAAAATTTCGTACATTTTTCTCTCTTTTTTTTCTGCTTAATTTCGAACGAAACGTCGAATAAATTAATCTTGCCACCGGTGCGAAATCTATCGAACCTCGCGGTGACAAAATGTCATCGGATTAAGAGATTATCACGGCGTGACAATCGGGAACGCGGGGATAATTGCCGCTTGCTCGTGACACAATGATCATGCACGATAATGGCATGCTAAAGGCTTGCTAGACACTGGACGACAACGTTTCTGTGTATGTGTCGCGATCGACTTGCGTCACGCACGCACGCTGAATAATTAATGATATCCACCGTGTAGAAAGAAACGAATGTCGGGCCCTCGCGGAATCGGGTAAACACACCGCGCGGAATTAATTTCGGCGTGTCGCGGCGAACCTGCTTGAGCGATCGTGGAACACGCCCCTTGTAAATGTAATTATTCGAGCAATGTAAACCCTCAGCTGATAGGAAAAGTGCAACTCTCGGCACGAAGCGAGCGATAGTATCTCGTTGAATGGCCAGCGCTTGGAAGATAATTCAGCCCGATTGGATGAATCACTGGGTTTCTTCGACCGATAGCTTCCTTTCAGTGCTTGATTATCAAACTGTGTACCACGTTCCGAGTTTGGTTTAATTATCTGGCATTAGTAAACGGCGTTCTAACGGAGGGAAATGTTCAGATCGGACGTGGCGAGAGAAGATTAATTAAAAGCAGTTGTATCTATCATTTACAGTGTGAATGCCAATGTAAACGTAAACTTGGTTAGGAAATGATCACTTTCAGTCACTTTTTGGCATTACGCAGACCTAACCAAAAAATTCTTGAGAGTATTTGTAACGTTTATCGCCGAAAATTACGGCCTTTGTGTAGCCAGCGTTTCATCTGACTAAATTAAGAGCAGAGATACTTAAGCTGAACGCAATCAATTTTTCAAAGCTACCCAACACGTCAGGAATCTTACGAAACGAATCGATAATCGAACGAGAATTCAACATTGTGCAAGAAACGCACATGTAGAGAAGTGCCCACGCTGGAACAACGAGCCTTGAATTCAAACAACACTCTGTGACTGGCCAGAGAGAAAGAGAAAGAGAAAGAGAAAAAGGAGCGAAAAAAAAAAGAAATTTCTGCTCCACTTCCAGATTGGACTGTAACTGGCAGCTGATGCAAGCGTCTCTCGATTCTCTCCCCGAATCGTTTAACATTATGTATAATGACGAGGCCTCCGAGAACACTCGTAACAGGTAGAAACATACCACGAGACCTGTTGCGAGAGAACCGGACCCCCCGCAGCCAGCGTTCACCGACGTCAGATGTTATCTTCATCTATTCTCCGGGACCTAGAGAAGCGAGCCGCTAGATCGACTTTTCATCTCCTCCTGTCCGTGCTTGCGCGAAAATATCGCGAGAGATTATCCGCCTATACGCGAAAATATCCGCCGCCTTTATCGCGACGATCTCGGAAGCGTCGTGGCGAAAAAGGGGGAATACCCGCATGTGCGTTGTATCCAGCGTTTTTTGGAGGAATTAATGGCCCCGCTAGCGGTGGACATTTTGTTCTTTGCCTCTCTTACACGGACACTCTGGAATTCTCGTACCCCTCGCAATTTACGGTACCTTTAACACAATTTTTTCCGCCCTTTCCCTCTGTTTCGATTTACTTGCTCGGCTCTCTGATAGAGGAGAGAGTATTCGAGGGCTTAAGACGACGATTTTGGGTTCGTTGGTCTTTTATTGAACCACCAGTAGCGCGGAGAAACGTTTAGATCCAATTGTATCATTTAACTTTAATGACCCTATTGTACGTGACGGAACTACCGATGAAATTTCGATAGTGATTCTCACTTGATAAGGTGAGAGATCGTAACTATAGAAAAGAATTTAAACACTATGCTGAAATTCGATAAAATTTAAGATCCACTGATTTTTCCAACTACTTTCCAATTATATTTGTAGTAAATCAAATTAACGAAGAGAATACTTTGAAATATTTCTTTCTTTCTCAAAAATTTTTCAAAAACGCTAGTTGGATGCGAATTTTGCAAGTAGGGAAAATATTTTTTCTTAATTTCAAAAAATTGTCATTTTCAATTGAAAAATATATCCTTTCTCGTAATATTAAATACGTAATTGCTTATTTACTAATGTTTTAATTAATGATAAAATAACGATACAGTGGCGCGAACTATTGGCAACTATATAAACTAATATGACGAATTCTGAATTAAAATAACGATTGTGGTTAACTAAACAATTTTCGAATTATATCGCGAACGAGATACGAATATTAACTAGTAAAGATAAAATTAATTTAACTCATCATTGATTAAGGAAAAAATAAACGTGATGCTATACAGAATTTTCTATCACGCGCTCTGAAATACCGACCTCGGAAAAATGAGATTACTCTAAATATAATTTACCCTCCGCGATTTTTATTATCGCATCCGACATTGCCGATATTACCAATATGATTACCGACAGTGGTTTCAAATAAAACTAAATTTTTCTATAGAATTACAAATAAAATATAAAATGAAGGAAAATGCATACAACTCACGATTGGATGTGAAGAACATGTCCAGGAAAAGTAATCATCAAATTCGTCATCAAGTAGGAATCGTAGAATCCCGTGAAAGAAGTAAAAGTTGCACAAGTCTGTAACAAAACGTCAAATATATTATTTGGAATATTTGAGACAATGAAGTGCAAAAATGAAATTTGAAATAATGAATCTATGTTTGAAAGTGAAATTTCTATTTTATTAAAGTAAATCAAGTTTTAACTCTATCACAAACGAAGATTTGAATTGACTGTCATGGCGACCTTTTGAACAGAGGGCTCTCATGGAGCTCTTGAACATTTCAAAGTTTCCCTCGCAATGAAGTCACAATTTATACGAAAGAAAATCAAAATAGGTCCAGATAAATGTACAGAAGGAACAAATTATACAAAATTTTAACAATAGTAAACGTCTAATGCCATTTGGAAAGTTCATAATATGAGCTATCAGTAAACGTAACAATGAAAATAACAATCAAATAATTTCGATTAAAAATTGGATAGATTCGATAAATAATTTCGATAAATTATTGAATAAATACGTACGTTCACTAAACGAGGTTTACTGACGAGGTTAAGCAGTTAAGAAACGATGGAAGACTGACGATAACAGTTCACGACAACACAATTAATAGCGGTCACGTAAAGTTAATCTTCACATTATGACTTTCGAAATGAGACTACCTCTCGCGCAAGCGCGTCAACAAATTGAGCAAGGTGGGGGGTCGAGTGTCGACGAATACGATCCGACTGATTTATGGAAAGCCAATAAGAATATTTCAATAATATTTAAACCAATAAGAATATTTCAAATATTCAATAAATAAATTAATTTATTTTAATTATATATTATATTACATATACATTATAAATTTATTTTATTATTAATAAATAATATTTATTTTAATTATATACGATATTAATATAAATTTATTTTAATTACATGTTGTATCAAAAATTTTTATACTACGGTGTTTATGTTAGTACGTATACACATACATATATGTGTATGTGTATGTGTTACTGCACAGGTGTTTTCTCACAAAAGTATTGGATCACTCGCAAAGACTTTTTCCTTTAATCTGGGAACAATTCTAATACGGGATAACTTCCAAATGTAAGTATCATATAATAAATTTAATACTTAATGGTTTAAATAATAATTTTGTTCCGTAATAAAATTTTTTATTTTCTAAATGAAAACAGTCGTATATTTGTAACAACCAGTATGTTCGCGTGTGTGAATAAAATTCTCTGAGGTACATATTTGTTTAAACTTTTTAATTTGTTGAACTTATAATTAGTTTAAACTTTTTATATTAGCCTTATATACAATTTAATGCAATTTCTATCTCCAAGTAAATTAAGATTCTGCTTTTTCAAATTATTGATTGTTCCGCAGAGTAGAAGTATTTGTTCATAAATTCATGTTTTAAATTTATAAACTTTTGAGCTTTTTAAATTCATAAAAGGAAGCTCGACTGTGGTTAGGACCGGTCTCCAAGCACATTAATATACAATTACTAATCATACCGGTTTATATAACCTATATCGAGAAATTTTCTATCAAACATAATTTACCATAAAATGGTAAATATTTAAATATTAAATTATTAAATGGTAATTATTCAAATATTTAAATATTCAAAATAGAAAATCTGAGAAAAAGAATGGGAAATAGCTCAGAGATTTAATGAATAGTTTTAACACATTCAGGATTACTGTATATGGATTAAGAAAAGCACAAATTGTAAAATCGATTTCCGTGCAATTTAATTCGAGAATGAATAAATAAACATTTTCTCAAGGAATAACAGTACAGAAAAGTACGCATCAATATCATTAATTTCTCTCGCAACGAATATAAAATTACAATTGTACAATTCGAAAATAAATAACATCGTACGATGATTTCATTTTAATAAACGGTTTCTCTCGTATAAAGCTATTTAGGAAGGATTGTACTGTCCAAACCCGATGTACTTACATCGTGTGTATGTACGGACTAAAAAGTTTGCACTTTCTATTTTATAGTTTACATACGACATAGAACAAAAAGCCCCGCAACGTTCTCGATAACGAACGATCGATTATAATATATCTAATCTACATACCCGATATAAAAAAAGGAGAAAAAATAGAGAAGGAATTTATTACCACTATAAGTACTAAAATAAGCGTGTTTGACGTGATGTAACATGCAATATAGTTGATTCTTTTTTTTTTCTTTTTTTCATTTTTCTTTTATTTTCCTTTTTTATTTATCGACGATATTTTTTTGATATGGATAAAAAGTTGAATGTACGAACGAATAATCAAAAAGTTCGTGCATAGTACAATAAACGTATGATACTCGATCGGGACGAATGCAATGCAGCTAAGAATTGGAATTAGAATGAAAAAATTAGAAATACTTTGTGTGTCGTTTTCTTCAGTCATCTCGCGTAATAGAGATCAACTTGGTAACGATGATAATTTAATATTTACGTACGTATCGCAGGATGTCTGGATTTTAATCGATTAAACGTTAGGAACATATTCTTTGGATAAGTTCTCGTTTTCTCGAGAACGAAAAAAATGCCTCGTCAAGAAAAAAAAAAAATTGCAACGTCTAATATGATCCTTAGAATCGAAGAATGAGCAACATAGTGACAGCATATAAATTTATAATAAATACGAAAATAAATATATAACATTTCGTTGATAAAATATTCTATAAAATGTAAAATGGAACGAAAAATAATATCATTTTTGGTCGCGCTTCATCAAAATTCAGGCAGCCTGTATACGTCTGTATATATTTGGATGACCAATAAGTCTTGAAGACTTCAAGTCTTTTATCTTTCATTTCATCGACTGTACAATCGATCGTCTCAATATTTATATCATTACATATTTCTAACAGTTTGTACAAGACGCAACATTTTATTGCACCTAAGTAACAGGAAATTTCTGTCGGCTCGAGCTACGTCTCTATCTTATAAATAAAAAGAAAAAAAAAAGTGAATTGCTTCAACAAGATCAAAGAAGCACGCGGTTAGAGGAATTTAATATTAAATATATTTTACAAAAAATGAAGTCTCAATCAAAGTTTAAATCAATAAATAGTCTCACTAGATATAATAATAGTAACTATTCCGTTTGCTTCCATTATAGTCCTAGCGAGGATCGAGCGTTATTCGATAGTTAACGAATAACTAGACTGCAGTCACTTTTTTCTCCTCAAGTCGATAAATGTATTATATGATACATAAAAGACGGGTCGAAAAATATATATACTTGGAAATGGCAGGGATGTATCGAACCCCTTTCCTTACCTCTTTCTTTCAATTTCGTGTTATTCTTTTCGAGAACCTCACAAAACATACATTTTTCATTTTATTATAAATGTCATGGTTATACACGTGAACGCTGACATTCCCTCGTGTAAAATATTGCTCTGTTTCTGTTTGGTTTTATCGTTAAAAAATGCGGCAACTTCCTCGCAAAATATCTAAACAATTGCCTGGAAAAATAGTCTGTCTCGAAAAAAATCTTACCAAGTCCTACACATCTCGAATGCTTTGGACAGAAAAATGCTGCTTAACGAAACACTTTTCACGCAAAAGCGATATTACATATATCCATTTGTCTGAATCATTCTTCTTTCGATTATCGTTAAATACAGCAGTATCTAACGGAAGCAGCCTCTTCTCTTTCCATTTATTTCTTTCTCGACGCGAAAACAATGGAAATTTCTACCTCCAACGATAAAACACTCCGTTCGGTATTACGTTCCCTTAGTATATTAGTAAAATTACCTATACCTTTCGTGAAGTTTTTGAGAAATCTCCAGCACTGTCGCGTCGATCATTCCGTAACTTGATTTTTCTACATATATCAGTCTCAAACGTGGATTGAGCCAGTTGTGCATTCGGTGTTTTCGCTTGTTGCAATTATTATTGTTTTCCGTTTTTCGTAGCTGGCACCTATGATAGACTTCTTACGTCGTAACTAAATCGGCAGGATTTTAATCTCCAGTGAATCGAATCGCCCTGTTGTGTAGTCACACGGTTCTCCGACTCTAGAAGTAACAATCCACTCTTTTACCATCATGAAATCATATTGTACGGTTCAGTCGGCAACAAACGTCTGTCTTGACTCAAATTCATCAAGTTACAAGCTTCTCTGCCATTCTCTCATTTCAGTGACCAACAAAATGGCCATGGGTCAATTTAAACGCTCGTCTTTCTATACGACCTTTTCGCATATTTTCCAAATATGCCTTCGGCACGTCTATAGAAATGCACCATTGACTTCTGCCGCGTAATCGCGTGCTTCCTTGGATGTCAAAGAATCGACACGTCCTCCGATTTCCTATTCTCTGGCAGCATCGCTCTCCTCTCTTCCATTTGAATATTACCGCCATTCTGGCTATTGCAATAATCGAAGCCGTTTGACATTCCTGGCTGAATGTTGACGTATCTGTGCGCCAGTTCGTCCTTCCGCTTGAAATTTTGCAAAACCAACGCCGGACCCGACGAAGACTCGTCGGCATTCATCAAGAGAGGCCTGGAACTGTCCAGGTCGGATATTCCATTGCCCAACAACGAGTCCTGGTTTGGTTTGTTGTCGTGGCCATTAATGTCCAACAGAGGAGGACTTGGCACACTCCCAGGGCTTGATGTTGACGTGGACGATTGTGTTGTGGGGTTTTGAGGTGGCCAAGATAACGAAAACTTCCTCATGTTCCCATTCAACTGCATCTCTAGTTGGCCAGTGTGCTCGATTTGAACGCTGGCCAAAGGAACGTCTAAACACGGTGCTATAATTCGAGGATTCGTTGCTAGGAAATCGACGATCTCCGGAGCTGTTGGCCTCTTTGTGTGGTCCGTCCTCCAGCAAGAGTACATTAAATTCTCTCTGTGAAACAGACGATAGTTTGGACGTTTGTCCATTAAATGTAGCGGGAATAAAGAGTTAAGTTAATCTTACAGTTGTAGTTTCACTCCTTTAGGAACTTTCAGCGAGTTCCCGTTCTTGACATGTGTGAGTACCTCGTTGTTGCTCATCCCCTGAAAGGGAAAACTACCGAATGTGATGATTTCGTAAAGGAGAACGCCATAGGACCAAACGTCCGAGGCTGGAGTGAAGATTCCAAGACTCAGGGACTCTGGCGCCATCCATCTTACCGGCAACATGCCTGAAACGAGAACAACATTCGTGACATCGAAACTAATGAATTTTCTCTGGACAAAAGAGCAGTGGTTATACCTCTTCGATTAAATTTGTAATAGTCGTTCTCGTACATGGGCCTTGTCATGCCAAAATCACCAAGTTTCACTACACGTTGAGCATTTACCAGGCAGTTGCGAGAGGCAATGTCTCTGAAAAAAAATGAGAGTCAACCTGTGACATCAAGGCATGGCTTTTCTTTACCGTCGAATTTTCAATATACCTGTGGACATATTTCAATTGAGCCAGATAACTGAGCGCCCTGGCGACATCCAGTGTCATCGCAGTTAGCTTTTTATTGGAGATCTCGTCTGAATCTTCGTAACTGTGGTCGTTCACGAGATGTCTTCTAGCGAGAAGATACGTCTTCAGATCGCCGTAAAGCATAAACTCCATGACAGTTAACACTGGTTCACCCTTAATACACACGCCCAACAGTTTGATTATGTTCTTGTGCTCGAACCTCTTCATTACTTCCACTTCGCTGAGAAAGTCCAATTTCTCATTGGTGCTGCTGCCAACTTTCAGAGTTTTCACGGCCACTGCTAACCAACCTTCTCCCGGGAATAACGCTTCACCACCGTAAACCGTTCCGAACGCGCCCTCGCCCAATTTTCGATTGATAACCACCCTGTCCCGTGGTATCTCCCACTTGTCCAAGTCGGATGTGTCCATGTGAGTGAAGTCTAAGCCTAGAGACTGGATGTACTTCTCGTGAAGACGTACTTTCCTTTCGTATCTGTTGTAAAAAAAGAAATTCAAAATTGAGATTTCTTTCGATCGATCGATCGATACGCATTTATCGTACACTCACTTTCTCTTGATGACGATGAAACCAATGATCACCACTATCCCCAAGAAACCGAAGCCGAGGAAATTGACAATCACGAACGCGACTTCGCACGACACGTTCACGAAGTCGGCGAAACCCGCGATCACGCATCGCTGAGGTGGTTCCGAGCCATCATCCGGCATGGTATGCGACAACCAGACCAGAGCCGAGACGTTCAAGTCCAATTTACCACCCACGACTTCGTGCTTCACCTCGGATACGTTAGGGTAAAAATTGCCGACCAAATGAGTTTCATTGTTGACAAACTGGACGATGTTAATGACAGAGTATCTCGAAGGTCCGCCGAAGAACTTGATCCTCCCAGATACCTAAATGAGATCAATCCTTTATATAATACACAATGAAATAATGGAATACATTAATGGAATACATTATTTTCCACGTACCCCATAGAAATCTGTTTCACCGATGATGTCCGTCATCCGATTGACAGTTTGCTCGCTATGAAGGTCATAGATGTAACTCTGATTTTCGCGAAGTAGTCGATCCATCGCGTATGCGTACGTCCACATAGCGTCGTAAGCGAAACCGGCGTAATTAGACGGTGGTTGGTTCCTGTTACGGCAATCTTTCTCGTAACGATCGCGCCACTGACGCACCGTTATCCCTTCCTGCATGATTTCATTGTCAGGAGCGAAATACGCATGAGAGAGACCAAGGTAGCCGTTTATCGCTCTGCTCATTTCCATCGTTGTACATGGCACTTGTTCTTCGTCCTTCAGATTGAATCGATCGGTGTCGTACCATTCTGGTCGGAGCCAAAGTGGCAGAAACCACACGTAACCCTTTAATCAAGTTAAACGTTTAAGTCAAGATCCGTTTCCGGAATTCTGACAATTTTCTATCTCGAGGAATCTCGAAATGACGAATTAGCTGGCAATAATTCAAACTATATGGCCGGACAATCTCGAGAGTTTCTTTCACAATTCGGACAACAAGAGGTGTAGGATTCATTTCATTGAAAAAAAAAAAAGAAATCACCTGAACCGCTGTCATTTCTAATTTGTACGCTTCGCACATCACTTGCCTGGCCACTTGATCGTAAACATCGGCGATTATTATTTTCGCTTTCTTCTGCTTCAGATCTTGCAAATACTGCAACACAAGAAGAACTTTAAATACGTTCGTTCGAACGTGATCTAAATCAATGACCGATTACTTCCAGCAATTAAAACTTCTATTCCTAGGTATTTATATATAACTCCGGCTCCGGCAATTCTCCAAGTCATTATTTATTACCATCGTCAGTGCTTATTAAAATCCAACCGAACAAAAAATTATCACTTTCATAAATTTACCAGCATCACTCAACGTTTTTTATCATTACAAGCAGATAATGTTACCGATATTGTCACAACGTATAAGCATAAGCGGTAATTTTCCATAATTTCTATACATCTATCTAATACCTCGCTCCGATCGTCAGTTATCGTCAACGGCGATCAATCTCAATTCTCATCGCTCTCGAAGGTGAAAGAACTCGGAATTCTGCAAAAGTCATCTACCTTAGTCATCACAGTTGGCTCCCGTTCCCGTGGAAACTTTGCATTCGCCACGAATACAATCCCATTGTCCCTGAGTATGTCCTGCATGTACGATATGTACTCCGTGTATTTCTGTCCGTCCTCCGTTAACGAAGCCACTCTCTTCCAGCCTAGTTTCTGCAGCAGTTGCAGATAAACGTGCTTGTACTGCTTGTTCTCGCCGATCGTTCGGAAGAAGTAAGGATATTTCGTACGATCGTTGAAGCTCGACCCTTCCGCGCTGTAACTGATGATCACCGTCTTGTAATGCTTCGAGACACCGACCAGAGGTTCCACGGTTTCCGAGCAAGCCGGCCCCAACACGCCGATCAGCTTACCGTACTGGTTGTGCACTATGTAATCGATGAACGATCTCATTACCATGTCCGACTTGCACTGGCCGTCGCTGGCCAACATTTTCAAATTGAAGTTCTTGAGAACGGTGTCGTTCTTGTTGATCGACTCTTTCGCCATTTTGGCTGCGATCAGTATCGATTTCCCCGAGTAGAAAGTTTCGCTCATTGGGAATATACCGCCAACGTACAGAATGTTCTTGTCGGCGTTGCTCGGCATCCACACGTCGAGGGTGTAGTTCAGATTGTCCCTTAACCAGCTGCACGCGACTTCTTCCTCGTCGACGCTCGTCGATCGATCGTTGTACCGGTTTATCAGATCTTCGTACATCTCACGCGTGAATTTCGCGTGTTTGATCGCCTCGTACGCGAGCTTCGCGACGTACTCGAATCTGCCCCAGACCAGCTTGATCAACCTGTTGGACTCGTATTTGCATCCGATTTCTAAATTCTGCGTGCCGCAGCGGGGGAACTCGATGGTGACGAAATCCCTCTCGTTCGGCACGACGCTGCTCGGTGTCCAATGCAGAAAGACCAGGGACCTGAGGAGCGAGAACGCACCATTTCTGTAGGCGATAATAAGACTGTGAAAAACACGGAGGCACGTGTTTTGACGAGACGAGGAAAACAGAACGACGATACGATGTATTTTGCAACGATGTTGTCTCGATAATAAAAGAAACGCTCCGGTGAAATTGTTTGCGCGTGCAGAGTGTTGATCTCGGTGTCTGGCTCTATTTTAAGGAGACGTTTATTCCGCGGAACGATCATCGAGTGAACGATACAGAGAGCCCGGGTAATACGAATTTTCGATGAGCCGAGTATTTCGTCTCGAATGCTAACGAAAAAAATTGTCGGGACAACGCGCGCCACGGAGGAATTATGCAAATCGAACGTGTCCCAGGTTTTTTTTTCCGCAACGTTCGTATCGGCATGAATAAAAATTAAAAAAGTGGAATGAAAATTCACGTGGTTCGTTAAAAAAAAAGTAACGACGAAAACACGAGACGTCGTCCGGCAAAACATATAAAACACACACTACACAACCGGCAATATTTATGGTTCCACTTGAAAGTATCTCGCGTTTTTACAACGTACGTTAACATTTTTAAAGATGACTATATTATAATTTTGCACGCTAATAATTCTTCATAGGCGGACTTTAAACTGAAACAACAAGTAAAAATAGCTCGACACGTCTGATCGTTTCATTCAGACGAGAATGTTTATTATCCTCTTCTGTTAATATTCGTTACCATTAAATTTCTCGTAAAACAATGCCGGTACAAAGTCTTGCGGAGAAAACCTGCGTTAGTTACGCATTGCTATGCAAGTCCTTAGTCATCGTCCGCGTTACAATAGAAACTAAGTACAGTATACATTGTACAAAATGTTTCCACGCGTGATATTTAAGCATCGCTGTATTCCCGTGGATATTTTTCTCGAATTATTTATCGTCGTTATTTTTCCTCGAAACGCTGAACAAGAAATAGACTCACGCTGACTCAGACGCGAGTAAAATAATTTCTATTTAGACAGCCTCCAAGACTCGTGCAGTGCGTACTCGTACCCGTGTAAAAATAAAAATACCAACGAAAACCAGTGCATGCACGAAGAAATGTGCCAAATACCTATTACCGGCTGGCGCCGCCGAATTTAACAAAGTTAAATTCTCGGTCAAAGTTTCGGTCACGTGTTTCAATTCCGGCCCGACCCAGATCACTTTGACGTACAGCTTCATCCTATCGATGTGATCCCTGACGAAATCGGTTACGTTGCTATAACCGGCGAACAACAGAGCGCACGGTTTCCCTCGGCACCGCTCCGGAATGTACATTCCGTCCTGGCAGAACGACTCCTGGCAGTAGTGGGCCCTGGTGACCGGGTCCATGGTGAAATTTCGAACGTTCTCCAACGTCATCTCGTCCACGTCGAAACGCGCCGCTGTTTCACGCTTGGCGAAGGTCATCCAATTGTCGCTGAACCTTGACAGCGAGACAGGAACGAACCAACCGAAATGACCCGGCGGGGCAATGGATCCGCATTCCTTTACGTCGTGCGAGTTCAACAGCGGCATCGTGTCCAGCTGCGCCGGTATCCACGTCTCCATGTTCACCATTGGGTGCCTGTACGAAGTAATTAGCGAGTCGTCAGTATTGTCTCTCCTCTGGGGGGGGGGGGCTTCTTCGAGCATTTCGTTCAATTGAAAAATATCGTTGGACTTCAATTTTTACTTTAAACCAATTGCGCCGGCAACTGATTGCGGACCATAACGAGCGACCAAACCGTGTACAATATCTCGTCGCGATTTTTTTTTTAAACTCGCCGGTACGATATCACTGGATAGAAATTACTAAATTTATTATTTGTTGTCGCCTATATTTAAATATATTTTATATACTTAATAATAATATATTATATTTATATCGTACGATATATATAATATATATATAATATATATATATATATATATATATATATATATATATATTATAATATATTATTAAATATTATATTAATACAATATATTATATTTATATTAAATATTTAATATAAAATATATTATATTTAAATATATTTTATATATTAATAATAATACTATATATATTTATATATACTATTATATATAATATATATATTTAACAATAATAATATACTCAAAACTGAGAAAATATTGCAATTTTGGGGCAAAAAATTCTCGTGCGTGGCACGTCATTCCAGTGCAAGAGGTTAAATTTTTAAAAACAATCTCTATCTGTGGAACAAAAACGATCAGTGTGCTCATCTTACTTTTCGTCGTTGCCGAACGTGTACTCGGACAGCCTGTCGAAAATCTCGTTCACGCCGAACGTGTCCTCCACCTCGAAGATATAAACGCCCGAATAGCCGAGCACCTCGGTCAGGAAGATTTTCATGATTATAGTGGTCAGTCTCTGGGTGACTCTCTGGGACATCTCGAAATTAATGTTCAACGGCTGCCCGTCCACGTTGGCCAGCCTCTTCGGATACACCTCTGTCAAATCGTCCAAGTCGTTGAATTAATTCCATTGTTGCGAGTACACACAGTAGTCGAAGGAGGGAAAGATAAGGTTTTCTCTCGTGGTAGGTGGTTTCGGACGAGAAATCGTTTGGATTGCAATTTACCTTCGCGCATCGTCAAACAGCGATTCGAGGCGACGACCTTCGCGATGGTCAGGAAGACCAGCATACTCGGTATAGATCCAAGCCTCAACATCATGATTTCCTTCTCCTGCAACAAACGAACGTTATCGTTTTTACGTATTGATGTTCAAAAATTTGTTGAAGCTCAAAGTAGAGATATACAAATAACAGTTGATCATTGACGTGCAGTGCCAATCTTCGTTAACAGCTAGCAATTATGCTAGTGCAACTTCTTCGGAAATTAATTACAGACGTGAACAAACGACATAAATGTACACATCTGGATACTTTTAATGGACGGTTGCAGATTTATTGACGTCTAGATCTTGTTACGGCCACTGCTCGCGATGAATCGTTGTCAGAATCATGACATGAAAGAAAACGAGAAAAGAAAAGTGCAAGCCGAAATCCGAAGTGACAAACATCCAACTCCAAAATAACGAGATCGTCGCGATTCGATCGTCAGATCCAGCAGGGCGAAACACGAAAGAGAGAAGTACCTGCTACCGAAATAGACGAAAAATTTGGCGAAGAATAGCAGGCGAATTCTGCGATTCAATGGACGTTCTCAAATAGGATATAATAAGATTCACGAGGCTGAGTCTCGCAGGTTACAGTTCAGCTGACAATGCGGCGGCCCGTGTATATAAATAGCGACGGCACACAGTGGCAGTGATCCTACGCTGAACAACGAACAGTAAATTTAAACGCGCACATTCTCTCGTCGCTTGCAACTTACTCGGACACCTGCTGAATTCGTGGAAAACGCAAGTGTCGATCGACTCGGGCTATCAAAAAGAACGAAAAGCTTTTTACGTTCGTGTAACAAACAAAGGGCGAGAACTTTGCGACTTTTGGAGCAACGGAAATTATCGGAACAGCTTTATTGCTCCGCGCGTATCTCGCACGTATGCGTGGTGCAATTGTGCAAACTTAACGAAACTATCGCAACGAGATCTCTTCACGCTGAATTTAGTCGAGGGAAAGTATCACTGTATTATTTGCGTTTCTGAACAAGTGAGTTCTGGCAATCGAGATGATTCTCTCGCATCTATCTCTCGTCTCTCTTTTGTTGTTCGTCGCCGTTTGTGTTTACTACGATGAGCTTAGCAGAAACGTATGTACGTCGCGATATTACGTGGACGAAGGTGACAAGAAGCAATGATCGCCACGATTCTATTCTTAGCCCATAGGTAGCGGCATCGCACGGGCGCTTTGACTTTTCAACTCGTGGGCGAATGAACTGCGCCGTTCCTTCTTTTTCTTTTTTTCTTTTTTTCTCTCTCTCTCTCTCTCTCTCTTTCTGTCCTCTCCATCGTCACTCACCTAGCTCCTAATTTCCTTTCGTCACATTTATTTTCGAATCGAAGCTCCGCGAGTAAAGTAGGTCGATTACGTGGATCACCGCGTGGAGAGGTCACGTGTCACGGAGTGAGCGACGCGCTCGACGGTTCAAAGAATGCGCGTGTATCGCCGAAACGTGACTGTTTTTTTTTTCTTTTTTTTTTTTCTCGAAACACGTGTCCGATTCGCGGATTCGTTTGGCTATTGTTCGCGACAAGCATTGAGCAAGTGTCGGTCTCGCGACGTTCGAGGTTCGAGGAATTTCGGTTTTCAACTGAAAACGCCGGAGGGAACGCGCGAGATTCTTAAGCGTGCGCGGATTGACGTTGTTTCGTTAGAACGAACGTTAGGAAAAAAGGTCGTGTGAAATATTCAGCGTGACGTAGCGCGCTCGATTCAGAAGCGAAGATGACGATGATTCTTGCAGTTCGTGCGTCATTCAGCTGCGGTGTCGTTCGGATAATCGGAATCGGGAATGGGTTGAATAATTAGATACGCGATCGTTGGAATAAGCGAGTTCACCGCTAGTCCGAACACGTCAGATACTCTCGTCAACTTCCCCCCCTTTCCGAAAAATCGCTCCATCACACGCCAGAGAATAAAGAATCCCACTGATCGAATTTATAGAACACGGAGACCGTTAATTTCTTGGGAAGTATTCTTTCAATTAATGAACAATGAGTGATAATCAACAATCCGTGCGTGGTTCGTATGATCTGCCAATCAGCCAATAAATAATTACAGTATAAAAAATCTGGAATATGTATATTATAGTGGAATATAGTTATATTATATTATAGTAATATAATGGAATATAGTTATATTATATTATAGTAATATAATGGAATATAGTTATTATATATACAGTATTATATTATATATATTATATACAGTATATATATTAATAATATATATAATAATATATATTATATATATATTTTATATTTATAATAATATATATTATATATATATTTTATATTTATAATAATATATATTATATATATTATATACAGTATAAAAAATCTAGAATATATATTATATATATTATTGTGGAATATATATTATATATGTTAATATATATTATATATATTAATATATATATAACAAATCGACAAAGTTGAACGATATTTATTGTTCGCTGCTAGAACAGTTTCTAATGACCGCTGATTTGTTGCACGCGTGTGTCGGAGCAAATTCCCATTTTTCGAAGCAGCCTCCAAGTATCCGCAATTACACGGACAATGCAGCGTCGAGTATTTCTGTTCCAACTTGTTTTAGTTTTAACTGCGTGCGTTTATCGATTTTCGGTTATTATTAGTGAACGAGTCCCTGAATCGCGCGTGACGTACAACAATTTCACCTTGTCCGCTGGGTTCCCACGGTGGCGCGAGTATTGCTATTAACAGGCAAAAGACAATCGGAAAATAAAACTCGAGGGACAAGATGAGCCTATTTATCGCGACCGCTGGTCAAAGCGGGTGATACGCGCATCTCCATCTACATTTTTTTAGTCATCTCGTTGCATCTTTCCGTTCGGAAATCTCAGCGATTCGGGGCACACAGGCCCGGCGACGATTCTCCGTGTTGTTGCAAATTCTCTTGCAATTTTGCTGCGGAAAATAAAATAAAATAGAAGTGCACGGTTTCTCGTCGGAATCTGGAACAAATCTGATGATTCAAGGCGTCCAGAGCGATTTATTTTAGGAGACACGGCGTCGCTCCCGTTTCCAGTGATTTGCATTCAAAACGAAAATAGTCGCGACTCGGAACGTTCAACGATCCCGCTGCTGCTGCTGTTCCAGCGGATCGAGTATCACCGCGAGTCGTTTTCACGCGACTAACTACCACGTTAGCCAGTGTCGTCACTCGGAATACCTCCGATACACCCCCGACACAGCCAGATAAAACCACGTGCAACGCTTGACAGCGATACCGCAATTTATCGGAATTGGCGTAGATATTTTCATCGCCGCGTTGCGTCAGAGCCGTTATTACGAAGGAGGGAAATACATGCCAGTGTATCGGGCTCGGCATTTCGAGGTGGGCGACAAATGACGCAGCAGGAGAAGAGCGTTCCGCACGTGCGGGCGAACCTTGCCTGCAATTTACCGTCTTTGAAGGAATTAAATCAGGCCCGACCTACGACCCGTTTGTATCGCCAATGAATAAAACATTATGGCAGACCGGTCGAACGGTGGAAATAATCCGATTGACCTTCCTATCGTCGAATACAATCAGAACCTAACTTCTTTGTTTCTTTTTTCCTTCTTCTTCTTTCTTCTCCTTTTTATATTGTTACATCTGTTTGATTCTCTCGTTCGTTAAGATCGTTAATCGTTTGAATCGAGTGGAGCCGCGCGACGGGCGAATGCAAAGTATCGATTTTGCTCATCTCGTATCGACTTGCTCCAGAGATTTTTCCCTTGAAACGAGCACGTAGCATCGGGAGCAAATGGAAGACCTTCGATTGATCGCGGAATTTAATATAGCTTGAACGAGGCTCGAGGAGAATTGATAACGAATTGGAAAAGGAGGAACGAGGCTCGACAGCGTGCCGAACGATGTTCCTTTGCTTTCTGCGAAAAACGTTTCCAATCGAAAGAGAGTTTGTAAGTTGCTGATAGAAAGGAGAAAGAGAGAAGCGTGTATATGTGGTACGGGGAATTCAGAATGCTTGGGTTTCAGATTCATTGCGATTCATTTATTCCTACGGTCAAAACGGACCTCGTGTGAAAAAAAGGAAAAACACACTTGACGCCACACTGGTCGCGTGAATATACGTACGTGCATATGTACGTACGTACACGTACGCAAACGAATAGATAAACGCGTTCATTAAGATTAGTACGCAACTGCGCGATACGCCGGAGTTAATTGAGCAGGCAACAGAGAGGAGACGAAAGGAGGGAATAGGACAGAGACACTCTTCCGTTTCTCCACGTGCTGGCGCTGTACACACGGTTCGACGTGTGCGAGAGATAAACGCCGAACGAAAATAGAAAAATATTAAAAGGAACTGTTTTCCACGACCGTGGAAACTTGTCAAGTTCGAAAAACAACTCGCGACAAATAGCACCGCGTTCCGATAAAAGTGCGCCGGCGACTCGCGCGTTTCAAGCGTGTTCTCGGAAACACGTCGTTCGATGTTGTATACCTTGGTATTATTGCACCGAAAAAAATTACGAGGTGCTAAAAAGAAGAAAAAAAAAAAAAAAAAAAAAAAAAAAAAAAAAAAAACAGGGAAAAAATGCAGTTTAAATCACGCTGAAGAACGCGTTTACCAGTCGCGGAGGCGAGAAATTTCACAGAAAGCCACGAAAATCGCACAGGGACCTTGAATCGTCGTCGGCCACCTGCTTTTCGATAGGCCGTCAATAATCGGCTAGAGCATTCGTTCGGCCTTGCTGCGCTGCGCTGATAATGTGGAAAATACACGCCCACGTGAAAAATACCAGTGCACACGGCGGCCAACACACGGCGTGCTGGATTACGTTGGATAACGTTGCTATTGGATAGCGTTGTTTGGGGAATGTTCGATTTGATGGCCGATTCTTGCGATAGGTCTGGGAACAATCTCGATTACTGAACTCAGAAATTTTTCTGGGGATTCTCAAACTTCCCTCGCAGAGTATTCGCTTCTTTTATACATTTCATTTAATTCGATTTCATTCAACTTTCTCGTTGAATTTTCTCGAGAACGTGATGCATTATTCAATGAGACGCAAATGATACATATTTATTCAGGAAAATCGTGCGATATGCTTCTTAAATGAAATCGGACTGGCTCTGTTAATTACGTAAACTGTGCACTGTCCATGTGTCTGAAATAAAAAAAAAAAAAAAAAAAAAACAAGAAAAAGTAGTTACGTATTTAATCTAGCCTAAAAGTTCACGTTTACATTGACGAAACAATCATCCCCTCTTCTCTGCCTTGACTTTGACTCACTCAGCCCATCAATCTGTGTGTTACTGTACGTACGCCCCTCAAACAAACAAACAAACAAACAAAAAGAAGAAAAACAGAAATTTATACAGCACTAACTAATCGCCCGACGATGTCATTCTTCAAATAAATGTGCAAAATCGATGGAAAGAGGCACGATAAAAAAAAGAGAGACGCGGGAAACGCGACGGGGGAGGAGGAAAGCTGAAACAAAACAACCTTCTTATCAATTGTTTTCACTGACGGAAATGCAATGCCTTGCTCGTGCTTGTTACAATTGATAAACAACGCGATAAACCGACGACGACGAACCGCAACGGTGACGAAATTATTTTCGTGTACACAGCGTGCGCTCTCGACACGCGAACACGACTCTGAGTGGTCGCCGAAGCATTTTTATCGGGGGAGAGCCAGCGTCAAAGAGAACCGCCCCGTTCTCTTTGCTGTTGACGCTCATTGATATCGACACACGGGCACAACGCCAATACGATAACGCCAATCTCTTCCATGGAAACGAGCGCGTTTCGACTCAATGGCTAATCCAATTACGAATCATCGAAGCGAGGTTGCTTGCGTCACGGGTCGGGGGTGCACCGTTAACCGCTGTCCCGATAAACGATTACAGATTACAAAGTGGCGCTTGCTAGATAGATCTGTAGCGGCCACAATCTCCGTGGAAGTGTGTCTTTGTGTGACATTGTGCATGTGCGACAAGATATGATCGATCGGGGTTTTAAATTTTTAGCAAATGATAGACACGTCGGTTGAAATTGAAAAAAGTTGATGTATAATAAATAATGTAAAATCTCCTGTAACTAACATAGTAAATAATTAAATAATAATATAATGATAATATAATTCCTGTAACTAACATAATAATATAATAATTAAATATTAATAAATCAACAAATAAAAGGAAGCGAATTTCTTCTGTCAAGCGGACTCTGTTTTCGCAAAGCAACATGTCGAAAACATTTCCAAATAATATAATAAATAATGTAAAATCTCCTGTAACTAACATAGTAAATAATTAAATGCTAATATAATGATAATATAAGTCCTGTGACTAACATAATAATATAATAATGAAATAATAATAAATAAAACAAATAAAAGAAAGCGAATTTCTTGTGTCAAGCGGACTCTCTTCTCGCAAAGCAACGTGTCGAAAACATCGCCGAATGATATAATAAATAATGTAAAATCTCCTGTAACTAACATAGTAAATAATTAAATGATAATATAATTCTGTGACTA